TAAATAAATAAATAAATAAATAAATAAATAAATAAATAAATAAATAAAATCAACATCAACTATGCTGATACAGAACTCACTAAACAATTACATGTCAATATCACCAGAGAAAAAGAAGGAAAGGGTTGGATGACATATCAAAGGCTCAGTTATAGCCCTATAAACATTATGTGCTTAGAGCTCAAAGCATTGTTAGAGACCCCACACACCCACTTTATGGTCTGTTTCTGTTGCTCCCCTCTGGGAGGAGGTTTCAAAGTATTTCTAGCAGGACTACCAGATTCTGTAACAGCTTTGTTCCCTATGCCATCCGTCCGGCAAACGTGCAAGATTCGTTTTCCTCGCCATGTACATGCATACATCCAAACTAGACTGCGTTGTTTCTCTGTGTCATATAATATATGTGGGTATATGCGTAATTTTGTATTTATTTATTTATTTTGTCATGTTTATGTAGTGCATGTTGGAGGTGGTGACCCTTTGAGACTTGTAAGCAATGAAATTCCATTTTAGTTTATGCCAATTAGTGTACATTCAAAGTGACAATAAAGTTTCTATTCTATTCTATTCTTTTCTAGTCTAGTTTAGTCCATTCGTGATGACTTGGATGAAGCATGGAAGATAGGATAATCAAATCTACAAATAAGACAATGATGGGAAGGATGGCAAACACCTGCCCTGGGAAGGAGTAGAACTTATCTCCAGGAACTCCCCTACCCCTAACGTTAACGTCTATATATAATATGTACACAATTTTGAAAGAAGTCTCAGACACTGCTTACTTTCATTTACAACAAATATAACACAGCATTACTTATGAACTCCTTTACTTTTAATGGCAGCAATTATACAACAGGCTACCATCTAGACTTATATCCTTAAATTATTATTTTTAATGTATACTTCTTCATAACAAATTAAGTCTAAATATTTGAATATATATATTGGGTTTCTGTCTGGATGGTCTCTTGTGACGAGCCGATGGACAGAGAATGGAAGTAGTGAACTTCCTCCCATATTTGGGCATACCGGGGGTTTCTAACTCTAAATAGATACCTATCACCCCGGCTCAGCTGATAAGGAGTCGAACTCTGTGGCTTAG